TTTTTTAAGACAGAGGAGTCTCACTCTGTTGCCCAGGCTGGAGTGCAATGGTGCAATCTTGGCTCACTATAACCTCGGCTTCCTAGTTTCAAGCGATTCTTGTGCCTCAGCCACCTGAGTAGCCAGGATTACAGGTGTGTGTCACCACACATGGCTAATTTTTTGGTATTTTCAGTAGATATGGAGTTTCACCATGTTGGCCAGGTTGATCTTGAACTCCTTGCTTGCCTGGCCTCCGAAAGTGCTGGAATTACAAGCATGAGTCACCATACCCGGCTTCAATTCTTCTAGAAAAAAGCATCGAGAAGTAGGATTTCTGACTCATATTGTAGTTTTATTTATTTATTTTTGTTATTTATTATTCTTATTTTAATATAGACTGCTTCACAAATTTTCAGGCCATCTTTGTGCAGGGGCCACACTAATCTCTGTATCATTCCAATTTTAGTATATGTTCTGCTGTAGTGCGCATGGTAGTTCTGTTTTTAATCCCTTGAGGAACCTCCATAGTGTTTACGGTAGCAGCTGCATCATTTTGCATTCCCAGCAACAGTGGGCAAGTGTATGACCCAGTTCTTCCCACTTTCTTTCTATGCCCTCACTGAAAATCACAGAGTACCTTAACTGCTCTGTGACCCAGCTGGCTACAGGTTTTTCTCAGCAGGCTTGAACCCAAACTGGGCCTTGAACATTCCCACGCACTGAAAAAGGTATTTGGGTTGTTGCTCAAAACACTGAAACTGGCCCCCATCCCTGAGCCAAATTTCTCAAACTGTCATAGAATCTCCAGACTCGGAGCCCCTTGCTGTAGACATAACTGGGTAGAACACCCTTTTCTCTCTCAGTGATTATTGCAGCACTCGGTAAGGAAGTTTCCCTAATACATTCTTTGGACCGATCACCCTAGACTTAGAGTTTTTTCCTTTGGTATCCCAGCCAGCCCTATTTTCCTTGTGGGAAATCCCCCTGTTACTGCTATTGGGGTGATTCCAGCCGAGGACTTGAGGGTTTAGAGGGACAAAATAGCAAGGGTTCAATTTCTCCACCTCCTTAGCATTTGTTTTTGTTTTTGATGATAGCCATCCTGACCAGTATAAAGTGGTATCTCATTGTGGTTTTGATTTCTATTTCTTCGATCATTAGTGACATTGAGCATTTTTCCAAATACCTATTGACCATTTATATGTCTACTTTGGAGAAATGTCTGTTCAGTTCCCAACGCATTTTAAAATCAGGTTATTAATTTTTTACCATTGATTTGTAAGAATTCCTTATATGTTTTGCAGATTAAATCCTTATCTATGATTTGCAAATATTTTCGTCCATTCTGTAGGTTGTTGCCTTTTCACCCTGTTGTTTCCTTTGCTGTGCAGAAGATTTTAGTTTGATGTAGTCTTACTTGTTTATTTTTTGCTTTGTTGCCTGTGCTTTTAGTGTCATTATCCATGAAATAATTGCCAAAATCTATGTCATGAGATTTTCCTCTGTTTCCAACAACACATGGAAAGGGTCATATACCATGACCAAGTGAGATTTATCCTGGGATACAAGGGTAGTTCAACATACGAAAATCAACTAATGTGATATATCACATTAACAGAGTAAAGGATAAAAATTATATAATCAGCTCAACAGATGCAGAAAAAGCATTTAACAAAATTCAGCACCTTTTCATCATTTTTAAAAAAACTTGACAACTTAGGAACAGAAAGAAATTACCTAAACATAACAGAGGTCATATATAAAAAGCTCACAGCTAACATCATACTCAATGGTGAAAAACTGAAAAGCTTTTACTCTAAGATGGAATACAAGGCAAGGATGCCAACTCTTGTCACTTCTATCTTTAAAATAGTATATCTCTATATTAAAGGAGACTATCAAGAAAATGAAAATACCATCCTCACAATGGGAGAAAATATTTGCAAATCATATCCGATTATCAGAAATTTGCTTAATACAGTTGCTGCCTCAGTGTCTATTTTTAGGCCTGATATAAGTTATCTGAAGCCCATTCATATCCCATTACGCTTGGCCTAGTTAAAACTTTCCTTCCCCTTGTAGTTGTTTGCAGTACAGCCCACTTGCCCCTCACCCTGCTGACCCAAAACCCAGCACATCCCACAGGTGCTGACAATGATAAAACCTCAAGGTCAACATAAGTCATGCAAAAAATAAGTTCCCCCTTTCCACCTGTTTTCTTTAAACTAGCCAATCCACAAACCCAAAGTGAAAGCCTAAGGGATAACATCCATGGCCCTTAATAAAGGCGTAGTTCTGTGGTCCTCCCTCTCACCCCAAACTCACTGGTTGAGCTCCCTGCTACCTCCAGACTTCCAGAAACCATAGCAATAAAAATTATGACACTGATAAAAGTCTAATTTCCAGAATTTAGAAAGAACTTTTACAACCCAACAATAAAAAATAAATCAATTTTAAAAATGGGCAAAGAGGCTGGGCATGGTGGCTCATGCCTGTAATCCCAGCACTTTGGGAGGCCTAGGTGGGCGGATCACCTGAGGTCGGGAGTTTGAGACCAGCCTGGCCAACATGGAAAAAACGCTGTCTCTACTAAAAATACAAAAAGCTGGGTGTGACGGCAGGCACCTGTAATCCCAGGTGCTCAGGAAGCTGAGTCAGGAGAATCGCTTGAACCTGGGAGGCAGAGGTTGCAGTGAGCCAAGATCACGCCATTGCACTCCAGCCTGGGCAACAGAGTGAGACTTCATCTCAAAAAAAAAAAAAAAAGGGCAAAGAATTTGAAGAAGATATACAAACACTCAATAAGTAAACAAAAAGTTGCTCAACATCCTTACTCTTAAGGGAAGTGCACTTTTTTTTTTTTTGAGACAGTTTCGCTCCTGTTACCCAGGCTGGAGTGCAATGGCGCGATCTCGGCTCACCGCAACCTCCGCCTCCTGGGTTCAGGCAATTCTCCTGCCTCAGCCTCCTGAGTAGCTGGGATTGCAGGCACGCGCCACCCAGCTGATTTTTTGTATTTTTAGTAGAGACGGGGTTTCACCATGTTGACCAGGATGGTCTTGATCTCTTGACCTCGTGATCCACCCGCCTCGGCCTCCCAAAGTGCTGAGATTACAGGCATGAGCCACCGCACCCGCCCCGGAAATGCACTTTAAACCCACAAACCCACCATGAGATACCTCTTCACACCAACTGGGATGGCTATTTTATTTTATTTTATTTTAAGTTCTGGGTTACATGTGCAGGATATGTAGGTTTACTACATAGGTAAATGTGTGTCATGGTTGTTTGCTGCACTTATCAACCTGTCACCTAGGTATTAAGCCCAGCAAGCATTAGCTGTTTTTCCTGATGCTCTCCCTTCTCCCACTCGCCCAACAGGCCCCAGTGTGTGTTGTTCCCCTCCCTGTGTCCATGTGTTCTCGTTGTTCAGCTCCCACTTATAAGTGAGAACATGCATTGTTTGGTGGGATGGCTATATTAAAAAAAAAGAAAGACAATACAAAGATTGGCAATGATATGGGGAAATTGGAACCCTCACACATTTCCAGTGGGAATATAAAATGGTGCAGCTGCTGTGGAATATAGTTCCTCAAAATGTTAGACATAGAGTTACTACATGACTCAGCAGTTCCTAGGTATGTTCCCAAGGGAATTGACTTGTACACAACATTATTCATTGCTAGAGTCTGACTGTGTCCCTCCAAAATTTATGTTTATAGCCAATCTCATACCTATAATCCCAGCACTTTGGGATGCCAAGGTGGGCGAATCATTGAAGTCAGGAGTTTGAGACCAGCCTGGCCAACATGGTGAAACCCCTTCTCTACTAAAAATACAAAAATTACTGGGCATGGTGGTATGCGCCTGTAATTCCATCTGCTCAGGAGTCTGAGGCACAAGAATCACTTGAAACTGGGAGGCGGAGGCTGCAGTGAGCCAAGACGGTGCTACTGTACTCCAGCAGGAACAGCAGAGCCAGACTCTGTCTACAAAAACTAAAACTAAAACACACATACACGCAAAAACAACAGCAACAATAAAAAACTAATCTCTACTCTGGTAGTAGAGGCCTTTAGGAGGTGATTAGGTTATGAGGACAGAGCCCTCATGGATGGGATGAGTGCCCTTATGAAAGAGATGTGAAGGAGATTGCTTGCTGCTTCTATTACAAGAGAATGCTGCAAGAAGGTGCCGTCTTTGAAGAAGAGAGCAAGCCCTTACCAGACACTGAATCTGCTGATGCCTTGATCCTGGACTTAACCACCTCCAGAACTGTAAGCAATACATTTCTGTTGTTTACAAATTACCCTAAAGTGTTTTGTTACAGCAGTTCAAATGGACTATGACATTTATAATAGCTCCAACTGGAAACAATCCAACTCTCCATCAACTGATGAATATATAAACAAAATGTACACATAATGGAATATTATTCAGCCATAAAAAATATGAAGTACTTATACTAAAACATGGATGAACTTCAAAAACATTGCACTGGCCAGGTGGGGTGGCTCATCCTGTAATCCCAGCACTTTGGGAGGCCAAGGTGTATGGATCGCTTGAGTCCAGGAGTTTGAGACCAGCCTGGGCAACGTGGCAAAATCCTGTCTCTACAAAAAATACAAAAATTAGCCAGATGTGGTGACACATGCCTGTAGTCCCAGCTACTTGGGAGGACTGCTTGAGCCCAGGATGCAGAGATTGCAGTGAACCAAGATCATGCCACTGCACGCCAGGTTGGGCGATGGAGCCAAACTTCATCTCAAAAACAACAAACAGACAACATTTTACTAAGTAAAAGGAGCCAGTCACAAAAGGCCACATATTGTATGATTCCATTTATGTGAAATGCTCTGAATAGGCAAATCCTTAGGGACAGAAAATAGATTGGTGGTTGCCAGGGGAGGAAGGAATTGGGAGGCATGAGGTTTCTAGAATTAGACAGTGGTGATGGTTGCACAGTTTTGAAAATATGTTAAAAACCACTGAATTGTTCACTTTACAAGGACAAATTTTATGTATGGTATATAAATTATGTCTCAATTTCTTAAAAAGTAGATCTGTGTGTTGTCATATAGTCTATATCCAGAAAACCTCTTTACTTTTCACATAAAATAATTTAAAAATTATGTCAGCTACATTTAAAAAATTACAATAAAGACCTGAATGTTTTTGCTGAAGCTCTATTTTTCTAAAACTGACAAAAAATACTGTATGCAATAAATAACTTCTTTGTCATATTTCTCTATTCAAAATCTTGTGAATATTTGTATTCCTTAACATATTATAGCCAAAAAATATATATCTATTTTTTGCTGTACTGGCACAAGTTTGGGTTGCACTGTCTTCTAAAATGTTAAAATAAAAATGGCATTTTTGTTGGTTTCTCATAATAACAGCTTTATGTTTAATTTCAAAAGGCCCTATTTATAAGTGTTCAAAGATACATTTTAAGAATTGGACGTTTTTTGCATAGGCTCCTTAACATTAGCTGGCATGGCTTTAGAATTAAATATTATTATGTGGAAATTTGTAAAGAGATAAATACTGGACAAGTTAAAATAAGGTGAGAAGATGTTTTCAGAAACCAGGACATATAATTCTAATTCAAAAACTTCTGGAAAACATAGAAAAGTATTTGCTTTGCTGCAAACTAAATTTTCCCTATTTTTTTTCAATTCATTTAAGGTAGCAAGATATATATTTTACTCTTAAAATATTTAACTTTTATTGCTATGTTAATAACTTTTCAATGTATAATTTTTCAATTTTCTAATATACCAAAGATATTCCTCTTAAATGGGTTTCTTCCTTTTACTCATTGAAACTAAATGCAGCTCAGTTATTTGATTAGTTGATGCTAGAATTTGACCTGGAGCTTATATAATTAGAAGAGACATTAGTTTTCCTCATTTAAAAGCCTGGTTAGCATACTACGGTCTCGTTTCAGGGGAAGTCAAACCTCTCTACTGCTTCTTTTTATAACCTTTAAGTTAATTCAGAACCCAGATAAGCCTTGATCTGAGGATGATATAACCACCACAAGCAACATGGGGTAAGTATGTGCTTTTATATGCTTTAAGGGGCACTGAAAGGGGAAATAATTTTATAAGAGATGAAAGCCCATCAATCCTTACCATATGGTGTATCAATTTAAATTCAATATATGCTAACATTTATTTAAGGTAGCCATTCAAAGAAATAACTTTTATTTAAAAGTTATAACAATTTGTAAAACATTCATTTATTTCCTTGCTTAATTTTTATATGATGTCTTAACTGCCTTTGCAGGTTATCAATAAACTGGAGACAGAAGTTGTTCTGCATATTAATAAATATAGTTGAAGCCGAGTTAAATTTTGAGAGCAATCTTAAAGAAAGGATGCTAGGCAGCATAAATCCGACATGGACATGCCTCTTTGGGATTAAGAATAATGAAAGAATGAAAAAGATTAGGGATGGAGGGAAATTGGTTTGTTCCTTTCTAACAGAAAAAAAGACAGAAAAATCTTCACCACTCGCCCCTCTATGTACAGAACAAAAAACACATCCTGATTGAAAATGTATACTGATTAATTACATGGGGGCTTTATTGGTGAAACCTAATTCTAAACACTTCATGGGGCTTTGGTGTGTAATGAGAAGAACTGAGTTTCACTTGACACTGTCTTTACTTAGGTGAGAATAGCATTCTATTATAATTAGTATTGGAATTATGTGAGTTTTTATATGCTGAAATAGTGTTCTGAATATGTAGAAATCTGTCTTTATACCACCCTTTTATATTTTTTAATAGCCTCTTTTAATACAAAATCATATTGCTGTAAATGGTATAGCTATTTCACTGAAGTCTACTTCTGAAGGATTCAACACAATAATCAGAAATTTATACTAGAGAAAAAAGTTTTTGATACATATTTTTTCTAAACATTTTTCACAAACCGAATTAATGTCTATGATTTTCATACCATGGGCTCTGAAAATGCAATCTGAACTCATTTGAAAACTCAGAGGCTTTTCAAAGAAGATAATCATATTATTAGTTTTTTTTTCTTTTTTCTTTTCTTTTTTTCGACAAGGTCTCACTTTGCCATCTGGGCTCAAGCAATTCTCCCACTTCAGCCCCTCGGGTAGCTGAGACCACAGGCACTAACCACCATGGCTGGCTAATTTTTGTATTTTTTGTAGAAATGGGGTTCCATCATGTTGCCCAGGTTGGTCTTGAACTCTTGATCTCAAACAGTCCTCCCACTTCGGCCTCCCAAAATGCTGGGATTACAGGCGTGAGCCACCATGCTGGCCTTACTGTTAACTTTTTCTTTATTCCTTTTATTTACCTTCCCTTTTCTCTGTGTATAAGGGCGTACTTCAACATAGCAGGCCAGTAGTAAACCAAGCAATGTGGATACAAAGATCAACTGATCTTCCTCCTCATCTTCCTCTCCTTTCTTCCCTTCCTCTCTCCCTTTTCCTTCCTTCCTTTTTCTTTAATGACAGCAGTTCTCAACCCTTTTTGGTGTCAAGAATTGCTTTCAGAATCTTCAGAAACCAGTCCACCATTTCTGCAAAAAAAAANCTAATCAAAGGGGGACTTTTGCCTCTGGAACTGCTCTGGTGCTTAAGGCCCTCTCTGCAGCAGTGCAGACTGCAGTGCCTCCATGGAAATCCACATCCATTTTCTGGTTCAAATTTAAGATGATAGATCTGTGGGTCACCTAAACTTATTGACTCATCAAAAAAAAAAAAAAAAGTAAAATCATACAAAATTTTGCATACAATTGTAGGAGATTTACAGGTGACATGAAACCCTATTCCCAGGACCACAGGTTAAGACCTTTGGATTTTGATTTTAGGACTAGAGTATGATTTGTTCAATATTTCTCTTTGTTTGGATTTTTATAAAATGTAAGAATCTTTAAGTTCATAATTCTTGCTAATCTTCTCAAGGACAGTATGGAAGATTCTCCCCCCACTCCATACACACACACACGCAATTTACATTAATGTGAAACAGTTTAACCAATACGCATTACATTACTGCTGCTGGGCCCCAAGGACTTGACTAATTACTTGTGCCTTTCGAGAGTGCCAGGAATCACCTTGGGAGCCATGGAAGGAAAAAAACCCTCATTATGTTATTTGTAAAGCACTTTGAAAGCCCTGAGTAAGATGAATGAAACAAATCTTAAATTGCTAATATTACAGACAGCACTCTTCTGATTGGTATGTTCATGATTATTTTGTTGTCTGTTCCTACCTTTATTGACAAAAAGACAGGGTAGTAGGAATTAACATTTGTTTAAGTCTTCCTAAAATAACCAGAACAATAAAGAGAAAGCAGTAGCTAACTGGATTCTCAAATGTATCCATTTGAAGAAATCTCTAGAATTTATTTCCTGAGAATGAGGGAATTGCTGTTTTGGATTTGTCTTTGGGGCCTACTTATCTCAAAGGATTTGAGGATATAATTCTCGTCTATGAGGCAATGTCAGCCCTTTCCACTTTCCTTCAGGCTATGCTGGCATGGGTTTAGCGAGCAACAAAGAGGCAAATACTGGAAAATTCTTATGCTCCCTCCTCTTAAATTTTCATTGGATTTCTTATGGAGTGTGTGGGTAGGTGGGGTGGGTAGAGATGATGCCTAACAGATGATGCCTAAAGGTGGGTAAAGGAATAACGGGAAAAGTGGAATAACCTAACTGACATCTGCTATTTACCATAACACCTGGGCAAAGGATGAGCAATGGGAAAGAAAGGTTGGTTGTATTTCTTTTCTGAGATACTTTTTAATGTGCTTTCCCCATCTCCTAGCAGAATTAGTCAGTGCAACCCCAAATGACATATGGGAAAAACAAAAGTTAAGGCTTTGGTAAAATTGTAGAACCAACAAGTTCATTATTACATCATCGTCAGTCTCCTTTTAGTCTCCCGGTTCAGTTAAATTTAGAGTAATTTAAAAAATTATCTTACAGATATATTTTCTCCTTCTGAATCTGAGAGTGACCATCCAACTCCTTTTCTTGGGCAAAGCGTACATTGGGCTCACGGAGCAATCTTTGAAATGTTGCTTCTATTTGTGCCCTCGTTTCTAAGAGCCACTTCCCTAATTCAGGTCATCATTATCTTTTACTTGGGTTATTAAGGGTGCCTGCTTACTGGCCTCTTTGCAGCTGCTCTTTCCTCTACAGAACCACAAAGTCATTTCTTACCAGAGATACGTGATCTTGTTACACCTCCGCTATATCTCTGCTTTAACATTTTCAGCAACGCATTCTCTCTACTGCAAAGCAAGCTCCAAAGAAAAGATTTAAGGCCCTCTATCTGTCCCCAATCTACCTGTCTAGGCCCACCTTCTACTCTACCTTCTGTGCTCCTTAGGATTCCTAAATCCACCTGGGCCTTGTGCTTTGTTCCTCTTGTAATCCTCCTTTTTTCTGCATTTCTTTTCTTTTTTTTTTTGTGAGACAGGGTCTCATCCTGTCACCAAGGCCAGAGTGCAGCGGCGCAGTCTCGGCTCACTGCAACCTCTGTCTTCTGAGTTCAAGCAATTCTCCTGCCTCAGCCTTCTGAGTAGCTGAAATTACAGGCACCCACCCACATATCCTAATTTTTGTATTTTTAGTAGAGACAGAGTTTCATCATGTTGGCCAGGCTGGTCTCAAACTCCTGACCTCAAGCAATTCACCTGCCTCAGCCTTCCAGAGTGCTGGAATTACAGATGTGAGCCACTGTGCCTGGTCCCTCTGGTGATCCCCTTTTGACTATTTCTATGTATTGTGCAAAGGCTGGCTCAAATCCTATCTTCTTAATGATCCTTTCTCCAATTCCCACAATGGAATTCATCTTTTCTCTGAAAAGTTTAGGCACTTTACATTTTCTTATTTCATTTGTCACAATCCCTCATATGTTACCGTTATTTGTGTGTCTCATCTTCCCTACTAGACTGGAAGCAGAAGCAGTGGCATCCTTGCATTTCTCCCAGCACCTGGTACAATGCCTTTTATATGGTATATGCTTATTAAATACTTGCTGAATGCACATGAACTCTGTTTTTCCTATACTCCACAAAAAACCCTAAAAACTTAATTTTAGCCAAACTCTCCTTCTTTCTTCTGCAACTGAGTTGCCTCATTTTCCATGTTTTTATCTGAGGAGCTCAAAGGAGTGAGTAGCATCTGAAATGAAGGCAATTCAAGGGAGAAAGGGTACAAACAAGGGCTGGAGTGACACACTAGAGGCTTCTGAAGACTTTGTTGTTAATAAGCAGAAAGCACATGTAGGCTCCAAGGAAATGTGAAATAACTTTCCAGAATTAAAAATCGTTCTTGCCGGGTGTGGTCACTCACACCTGTGATCCCAACACTTTAGCAGGCCATGACACTTGGATCACTTGAGCCCAAGAGTTCGAGACAGGCCTGGGAAACATGGCAAAACCCCATCTCTACAAAAAAATAAAAATAAAAATAAAAATAATTAGCTAGGCATGGTGGCATGCACCTGTAGTTCCAGCTACTCAGAGACTGAGGCAGGAGGATTGCTTGAGCCCAGGAGGTCGAGGCTGCAGTGAGCCAAAATCACACCACTGCACTCCAGCCTAGGCTTCAGAGAGAAAACCTTTCTTTTAAAGAAAAAAAAAAAGTTGGTTTTAGGCTCTGGATAGCTTCCTAGAAGACCAGCATATCAGTAAGGATTGGTTTCATCTGTATATGCTGGGAAACACAAACAAACAAACAAAAAAACCAGAATAATAGGGGCTTAAACAAGCTAGAAGTATATTTTTCTCTTACATAAATAAAAACAAAAACAAAATGAAAAACCCCACAAAGATAGGCAGTCTAGAGCTGTTAGATGAGTTATTTGGTGTGAGGTACTGAGATTCCTCTCATCTTTTTCTTCTGCCATTCTTAATGTATCACCTTTTGGTCCAAGAAGGTTGCTAGGTCTTCTTCGATCTCACTGCCGTTCAGCCAGCAGGAATGAGGAATGGGGGAAAAAAGGTGTGTTCTCTCTTTTAGGAGACTTCCCAGAGGTCACTCAGTGTTTCTAGTTGTATTGCATGGGTAGAAATCTAGTCTTGTGGTTACACTTAGCTGTGAGAGAGAAGGGAAACACAGTCTTTTAACTGGGTTTCCAAAAAAAAAAAGAGGAGAATGAATACTGGGTAGCAACTAGCAGTGTCTGACAGAGCCAGCCTCAGGCCTTACATGGCTTCTTATATTCCTTTAGACAAAATACAGCATTATGTACAAAAGTAATCTTTCAAGAAAAAAAATTGGTAAAGGAAAAAAAAAAAAAAAAAAAGAGCAAGCCAAGCTGGGAATAAACAGGTTCACCTAGGATAAAGGCCCCTTGATAAAATGACAAAAGGTGACCAAGTAAGGCTTTTCCCCTCCCCACACTCCTACATCCCATTCTCCCTCCCTCCGGTCTTCATGTCCCTTAATCCTGACATCCACACCGTGACGCAAGTATTGCTATTACTAAGCCAGTCATACAGATGAGGAAACTGAAGTCCAGGAAGATTCAGTGGACTTCTGCCTGTACTGCAGCAAAAATTATATAAATTTCAGAATGTTTTCTAATTAGATTTGTTCTTAATTTTGAGTATAGATCACTGTAATTAGTCTCTAAAGAATAACCTATTATAAAAAAAATAATAACCTATTATAAACATATTTCATTTATCACTGGAAGTAGGTAATTTAATGTGGAATATTAGAAAAGACTCTAGATTTGTGGCTTTCAATATTTTAGGGTCAATCAACCGCTTTAAACTCTTCTGATTCAGCAAAGCCCTCTAAGCCATGCTGGAGTTCTCCAGCTCGGTTTTTAAGTACATAGAAATTTATTTTTATTAGTCACCCCAAACGTATGAACGCTGAGGTGATTGTACTTATTCAATACCAAGTGACTTGAAAATTAAAAGACTAGAATAAATAAGGACTTTTACTTTTTTACTTTATATGGTTTTGACCTATTAGAAATTTTTAACAACAGTGAATTGCATATATAATAAAACTTTTAATTACAAAATTATAGGAAAAATGATGGCATAAAATGCAAGGTAGCTATCATTATCAATGGCATTTTGTTTTTTACAGAACTTCTAGAGAAATCAGGAAGACGACTTCAAAAAAAATGATATGATGTCTCCCAGTGGAGACAGGGCACGAGGTGAGTGAAAATTGCAAAGAACTCGTTTCTAATAAGAACACAGGCAAACTGAGAGCTTAGATTAAACCAGTGATCATTCTTGAAGCAGAAGTATTATAAATTTCTTTGTAGAATTTTATAACCCTTCTTGGCTTGAAAACCATCAAATAAGCAAATTGTGAGATTACTTAATTAGCTAGCAATAAGGGGAAACAGCCACCTTCCAAACCAGCCACATTATATCAGACTTGACTGCATATATGAGTGCTTACTGACAGCATTGAGACAAGAATGAACTATGTTGGGTTTTGTTTGTTTGTTTGTTTTTGTTTTTGAGATGGAGTCTCGCCCTGTCGCCTCGGCTGGAGTGCAGTGGCATGATCTCAGTTCACTGCAACCCCTGCCTCCCAGGTTGAAGCAATCCTGCCTCAGCCTCTCGAGTAGCTGAGATTACAGACATGCACCACCATGCCCAGCTAATTTTTGTATTTTTATAGACATAAGGTTTCACCATGTTGGCCATGCTAATCTCAAACTCCTGACTTCAAGTGATCCACCTGTCTCAGCCTCTGAAAGTGCTGGGATTATAGGTGTGAGCCATCACATTCAGCCATACTATGTTTTAATGAAGTTCTATTTTGGATGTCTTTGGTGATTGCAAAAAACTTCAGGAAAGACAACATTTACTTTCCATTGAAGTGATAGATTTTGAGTCCCTAAGTGCATTCTGGGCTTTTTCACTTAATAATAATGTGGGCTAGTAACTATTATGCCCTCTTGACAGTTGAGGGAGCATAGGCTTAGGAAGATTAACCCTCCCAGGTCACAAAATGAAATAAGTAGCAGAGCTGGGATTGGAAGCTAGATGTCTGACACACTTACGAAAAAAGTCTCATAATTAAAAACATTATTTTTAAACTTCAAAACCTAAAAGTGCTCATTGTAAAACAAAATACAAACATGATTATGACAGAAGAGTTTAAGTAGGATTTAAAAGCCCATCCCAGCCCGAACCCCATCCCTCTTTCCAGTGTTACTAGTTTAGTATAAATCCTTCCGTATCTTTCTTTTTGCCCAGTGTACTTTCCATAGTACACTCAGCAAAAAGAAAGATACGGAAGGATTTTCACAGTATCACATTTGAAAGTATGAAAAGTATCCAATTTTTCACAGTATCATACTTCCTATTAAATAAAAAAACAGAGGAGGTTGAGTTTACTATATATCTTTACTGAAATAAGCATCTACCTCTAAACAATAACTGAAATGCTCATTCAGCTGACATCAGGCATCTATCTGTAGAGACTCAAAGAATAATAGAATTCACTTGCTGTCTCCCAAGGACTCATAATCTAGTGCAGTGGTTTCTAAGTTTATTTTTGAGAGCGTAATTATAGACTCCTTTGAGACTGATGTGACTCTGAACTCTTTCCTGAGAAGAAAATGAACCTATAAAATTTTGCCTATAATGTAGAGGATTCCTGGAAACCTTGAGAGTATTGGACCCCAATCTTGTAGAAGTGAGACTTTTAAATTTATAGTTTGATAGAAATACTATAATGGAAGTGTAGACAAGATGTGACCACAGCACAGACAAACAGGGTTTAACTCTCCTGGGACATATCAAGAAAGACAGGGAAGAATGACATTTGCACAAAATATTGAAGGACACTAGGAGTTTGACAGCTAGCCTGGTGCAGGGGAAGAATGTCCACTGAGGGAACAGCCCCAGAGGCTAGAATGGATGGGGAAACATGACTGTCTTTGTGATAGGAGCCCAGTGTGTGTATGGGAGTGACTAAAGATGAGTCTGCAGAGCTGCGCAGAAGCCAGAGCACAAAGGGGTTTGTCCATTGGGTTAGGGCATTTGAACTTTAGGAGTCACTGAAGGATTTTGATAAAGACTTTCAGAGGTGGCAAAAAGTCTATATTAGTGCATGTTTAAATAAATCATCATAGGAATAATAATTTGGATGATGGAATACAATATAAAAAGTAGATAAGATCATTTGATTCTGATTTTGGAGGGGATTATTGACTAAATGACGTATTATTTAAAAGATATATTGCTAAAATCAAATAGAATTGATTGGAAAGCCATTGCTTTTATAAAGTAAGTTGGGAGAATAAAGTTCTGAAACTGTATTTATAAGATAAAAGGGTGATTGTCAAACACAAAATTTGGGCAGCAGATTGACTCCTTGGCTGCAGGAAGTCCCATGCACAGTCAAGCTAGTGTCAGTCACTCAAGGTGGGTCATTCACTCCTGATTCAGTCACTGTCATGCCCTCTGCTGTCTTCCAGGAGCTCCAGATGGGCCATGTGACCTCCCATTGACCCTTCCACCTACAATGAGCAGGAAAGAGAAAGAGGGTACAGTGGTTCAGGTTTTTAACATCTCTGCATTAAGCATGTATTGCTTTTATGATTGAGATTTTAAAGCAATGTAGTGTAAAGCAAGGCTTACAAATCACATCATAGCTGGTTTATTTCTATTTGGCTGTTCTTTACCTAATATACTTAAAAAAAGGAAAATATTAGTCTTACATCCGACTTCTTGGCAGTGGCTTCAAAAAGTCTCAAGGACATTTCACTTGATAAATACTTATTATTTATTATTCATTTAAATTTTTTTACTTATCAGATACCGTAGAGACTTGGAAAAGTAAACTGTGCATATATTGCATATGCTACTTTACATGTATAATGTATCTTATAAATTTTTTTTTTAATACAAAGAATCATTTGGTCTTTGCCAAAGGGTAGTGCTCTGAAAGATTTCTCAGACATGTTTAAATAGTGAGCTCTGCTAAACCAAAATTTACAATTTAGGTGAAATGGCATTATTTTTCCAGCTTGCCTTTTCCAACTCGTTAATTTTTTTAAATGGGTCTTCTTGCTATTAATATGAACAAATAAAGTTCTGTGGAGTTTTTTAGGAAAAGAAATAATTAACAATAAACATCTCCTGGAATTAAATTCAACTCAGACTTGTGTTGAGTGCCCACTGCAAATAATCCCCATGTCAGAGAAATGTGAACAATGATTTAAATGTAGTTATCTTTAAAACTCAAGCTAATTTTGCACTCCCCTCTATAAAATATCTGAGCATTAAAAATATTTGATAATTTTTTAAATTGCTGAAAATTAAGTAAAATTGCTACTATAAAGAGTAAAATTGCTATTATGAGGAGATATGCCCCATTTATCCTGAGGCTTCAAGTCCAGCACTCTAGGATCATAAGATATTATGCTCAGAGAAATAAGTGAGGCACCAAACAGCAAATACAACATGAGCTCACTTATATGTGGAATCTAAATAGTCAAACTCATAGAAGTGGAGAGTAGAACGAGGCTGGGGGTGGATGGGTGAGGGGTGGAATGGAGACATGTTGGTCAAAGTGTACAAATTTCAGTAAGGCAGGAGGAATATGTTTTTGAGATCAATTGCATAGCAGGCTGACTTTAGTTAGCATATTGTATATTTCATAAATTTGAAATGTTCTCACCACAACAATGACAAGTATAGGAGGTGACAGGTAGGCTAATTAGCTTGATTTACTCATTCTACATTGTATACACCTATCATAACATTGCACTACATTTCCTAAATAAATACAATTATAATTTGTGAATTAAAAAAGGAAATTTTAAAAAAGAATCATTACCTGCCAGGTTAAATGGATATGAATAAGAAATAGTCAGCTGGGCACAGTGGGTCACGACTGTAATCCTAGCACTTTGAAAAGCTGATGGGAGAGGATTGCTTGAGGCCAAGGAGTTCAAGACTAGCCTGGGCAAGAAAGCGAGACCTTACCTCTACAAAAAATAATTTAAAATTAGTCTGGTATGGTGGCATGCACCTGTAGTCCCAGCTACTTGGGAGGCTGAGGTAGGAAGGTTGCTTGAGCCCAGGAGATCGAGGCTGCAGTGAGCTAGGATTATACACTCGCTCCAGATTGGGCAACAGAACAAGATCCCATCTCTAAAATAAATAAGTAAATACATAGAGACTATTGCCTAAAATTCCTGGCAGGAAGAAACACTAATAATGCAGTCTGAGAATGTGGTAGAACAGGGATTGACTGATTATGACTTAGAGGTTAGGGGCAAGCTTCATAGAGAGAAAGGTGCTTGAATTGAGCCCTGAAGGATAAAAAGTATTTCATTAGATAAAGAAAGATATTTGAAGGACGGAGGATAGGAGGAACAAAGGCACAGCAGCATGAAAGTGTTTGGTGAAAGGCGTGAACTGAGATCATCTACCCATGTATACACATATACTAACTACTATAAAGTTTTGTTTGAATTACTCTGAAATAAAGGAACAAACCAAGTAAGTTCAGCTAGTCCAGTCACGAGCTGTTACAAGTAGCAAAATCATATCAACCAATGTCTAACTGGCTACAGGGACACACCTTAAGCTCCACCCAGACAACCCCTCAAGGTTCTGATTAGAGGAGCAGTCCCACAGGATATGGAGACGTAGTGATTTGCAGAGCAGATGAGCCGGAGTTAGTGAGATGGGGTTTCTGAGATTTAAGATTAAGGTCCCACAGACAGAGCTGAGTCAAGATAACTCAGGCAGGCTAAAAATTTGCTTAGACGGATTTTCTTTCAATATCTCACACTTAAATTAGGAGAGGGTGATCTCTTCCTGGAGGAAATGTGGAAGAGGAGGCTCCCAAAAGCAGTACTCAGTTTCCTGTTCAGGATCAATAACAGTTCAGCTCTGGCCTCACAGCAGCTGTACCACTCAACAAAATGAAAATCCTGCAAGAAAACCAGACTCAGCCTTCTTTAAGGCTTTTTGGTGACCATGTGTTGCTACTCAAGCCTGCATTTAGGATACCCCACTCTCATGCCAAACACACACACACACACACACACACACACGCACACACACACACACACCCCTACCAGAAGGAAGCATTCATTTCAATCACACAAGAGTCTTTCCTTAAGAGAACTCCTGATAAATCTAGTTTTCTAGATTTCTTCTCCCATTTCCAGGGATGTTT